GAATAGGAGAAGGTACCAACTTATCCAAAAGGAAATGATACAAATATAGCTTGGGTGGACAATAACACAGCCAGACTAAAATATGGTATGAGAAGCTCTGACGCCTTTTCTAGATTTTAGTTACTGTATTTTTTTTTTTTTTTTACTTTTTTGTAAGTAAGACCTATGTACATACATACATATACTCCCAATAAAGACAATATGAGGAATAAGGATTGTTGGGAAAACATATTGTATAATATTATTATTTTTATTTTATTTTATTTTGGAATACAATGCAATTTAAACGTTTTTCCGTATAGAGAGCGCTCCACCCACCTAAAACCTCGCTTTAGTGATGTCAATATTCGTTGTAATTGCTTATTTATTAACCTTAGTTCCTTGCAAGCTTGTCCTGTATACTGTAGTGCGAAACAATTCCGATTCATTTCAATGCCATTGATTCAAGGCAACCAAATTTTATGCAAATAATTGGAATTACCAACACTGATGCACAATCACTGACAGTTTTCAATCAGCTGCCACTCAAAAACGTAGAGAATTCTGTTTGATTACGCACAAAATTTCAAGCTGAATGTATTTGCCTATGCGCCTAAATCGACTCATAAGTATGATGTGGCACATTATAGGAAACTTTAGTATCTTATTTGTAAGAGGCGATCTATTTCGAGGTTCCCTACTTTTTTTTAAGAAAATTTTATTTACAGTCGAAAAAAACATTCTTTGGCGTTTATTATCTCTTTCAAATATTGGCCGCGCCTACGTCTCAGATGGTCCGCAACAGCGTTAAACATGACATATCCTCACAGGAAAAAGTGTAACGGTATGACACGATCTTGGTGGCCAATTGATCGGCACAAAACGTCAAATTATCCGCTCACCGAAATTTTCTCTCCATAAATCCATTGTTTGATCCAATGTGTAGGAAGTGTCATCGTCTTGTTGAAACCAAACGTCACAGATATCACGAGCATGAATTTTAGGCATTAAAAAGTCGGTTATTATGGCGGGATAAGGGTCGCCGGACGGTTACGTTCTCACCGGAATAATATTTAAAGAAATATGCACCGATGATTTCACTGGCTCAACCGTTGTTTTTTCTGGATGAAATGGTAGCTCTTGAATCTATTTAGGTTGCCCACTCTCTGCTACAGTCCAATATTATTCAAAAACAATCCGAGGATGTTGACCATAAGTTGAGCGATTTGTAAATATTGTTCAGGTGTAAGTGTTTCGATGATGAAATGCCAAGCAATACTGAACATAAATGACAGCTTGAAACGACTCACGCTTGATCTGTCAAGAAAAGCCTATAGAAAAATGTACCTCTAATAGAATCAGTCTCTCAATATATATATATATAAATCTTCTTTTGAACGAACATTTCAACATCGCTTTCGTAAAACAAATCATCTGGTGCCTGGCTTTAACCTCAATTCCAGCGACAGTCTCTTCATGGGCATACTCAATTTAGAACACTTATGATTCCCCCAGAGAGTACTTGGAATAGTTTAGGTATTAATAGCAGAAATCAGATTATTTAAAATATAAAATAGACAAGTACACTACATGTTTTAGCTAGATGATCGACAGGTTATTTTGAAAAATCATTGAATACGCTCAATCCTAGGATGCGTTTGCGAACAGTTTGCAACATTTGAATGCTGTTTCATCAAGAGAACGCTGCAGTGCGCACCGCTCGGGTGCGAGGAATACCATAAAAAGCTACTGAATTTTCAGAAATCAACCATCCATATCACAGTGACTTCTTCCTTTCTTCAAATTTAATAATGGAGTTACAGAAGCGATTATTTTCAGAGTACAGTGAGATGATAGGGGCCATAGAAAATCATTTTGAAGAGACATCTAAATAATATATATCGGTAATGTAAAGGCATTGCGTTCACGATATGAAAAGTGTATTTCTCGTTAGGGAGACTGAAAAGTAAAAAACATAAAACTGCATATTTGCTTTATTAAGTACTATGGTTTGGGACATTCTCAGCCTCGCCCGAATTAAATTTTTGCTTCCTGTATTTCATATACTTATACATATATACATGCATGCTTATTTGCATAAGTGGACTTAATAAATTCCCCTCGCAGCAAATGGAATGACCACTTGGCTTCATTATCAATTTATCAACCTGAGCGAGCCACGAGTCTCAACCGATAACTTCATAAGTTGAAAGGAGGAGCAGTTAGCCCACACCTCATTTATTATTTTTAATATGGAGCTCAAGTCCAAACACCTTTAAGAGCCATTGAAATCATTGAACGTATTCAAGTGATTTATCAGCATCTTCCATACTCCCTTCTTGGTCACTTCCTCGTGTCTGGCAAGCTTAGACAGGTAGAATATCAACATTCTCATTAACGAAATCTAGAAGTTTTAAATTTTCTCAAAGTGATTTTTATAGTGTTAGAATTTAATGCGCCGCACAGGCCGCTCCTGCATTCAAAATCAGTAAATCGAAATAATAACTAACTTTTTTTCCTATCCAATATCCGCTGCTTACTTCATCGCCTGGCAATTTATTACGAAGTCTAACGGTTTACCGCATTTTAACATTTACTAAGCTAAAATTTTGACATTACTAAGGATGAGAAGTACGCAAACAATTTATTGCCTATTCACAGCGGCACTTTATACCGGCCACATAAAAGCTTTAATGCATTTTCACATTTCCATGCGAGTGCGTGTGTGTGTGTGTGTGTGTGTGTGTATGTATGAGCAGTATAATGTTTGCGGCATTTTAACTGCAATACTCATAAATATTCAATTGCACTGCATCAAAAAGACTTTATTAGTCACATTCAATGTATGCCAAATTCATTTACGAGTTTGTGTGTGTGTGTTGTCTTTTAAATACTCCAAAAAGGCGGTAATGAACATAAAAAATGTCTCTCATAAACATCACCATACAAACACATGCACATGTACACTCCACATCAAGGAAGTGAATGCAATAAGTCAAAAGTAGAAAAGTCAAAGCTGCAAACGGTCAGCAGACGATTTCTGCTTTGTTGACTTTATGTGTGTTTGTGTTAGTTAAGAGTTATAGGCCGTTACTTTTATGCGTTGAAAGCCTTAACTTATGCTTCGAGCGAATAAATACATTTGCAACTGGGAACAGTTGAACTTTTCTGTTATTCTCATATTTCCCCTACTTTCTTCTTTGCTAATTTTGTGTAGCTCAGTAAATCTTACATTGAGCGCAATTGTTGAGTGAGATTTTTTGCTTGAGCAACGAATAGAGTAGGAGAAAATGAGAGAAATGAGCACCCTCAAATGAGCTTCAAGTTTCTAGTATGCTCGAAATGAGTTTCACCGATAGAACTCATTGGCGTTTTTGCGGCGAATTAGTGAAAATTTCGCTTGGGTTGTATTTGCTTGTAAATGAGAGACGTAGTAGTAAACAAAACTGACCTACATTAAACTAATTTACATAAACGGCTGTGAATGAGGTATATCAGCGCTGAGGACCTGTTTTATAAACTCAAATATAAGCAAATATTTTCGTAACAATTGCGTGAAATTTATGATCTTGAAGCGACAACTTGATAATACAGAAATCGTATAGAAAAGTATGCCTCGTAAATTTTGATTAAAAAGTTGCAAATCAGGACTCGCAATCTCAGCAAACGATATGTGGGAAGATTTCGATTGCTTTGCAGTTGCAAAAGTGTAAATAATAGAGTCATCAGAGCAATCATGGATAGAGTATAGTAATTCGAAGTAAACAGTAAATTTCAAATGGCAATCTGCGATCAGCTACTCGAGCCATCCCTCATGGTATCGAAATACCAGTACCTAAGAAAACTTTCTCCTTGGTGGGATTCCAAGTTTTAACAAAGATGATGCTGAAGGCATACCGGATGATAAGTAATGTTTTGTATTACTTGAAGCATTACAAAATTATTTTTGTAGGGTGATCTTAATGATTTGGTAAGAGATTTCTATATTTGAATCTTCAAAAAAAAATCCTAAATTACTTGAGCAGAAACTTAATTTTGGCAGCAGTGTGTTTCTCTTAGTTAAGATATCGTAGGGAGCAGTACATTTTGAAAGAATTGAATACTTGATATATACTCTTTAGATCTCAGACAACCCAGCGCAATCGCGTTTTTTTCATAAATTCTTCAAAAAAATGCTTTAAAAGAGTTTTTCTTCAAGCTAATATGCCTTAGTTACCATCCAGAGGAAACAAAAATTCACTGTATCAAAAGTATATTATATCTTACAGATCTCTAATACGATTTGTCGAAAGAAAATTCTTTCTTACTTTGGTTCCGATATTAGACAATCTTTACTTAAAAAAGGTGTTCAAAGACGTGGCGGGGGAAAAAATATCCTTCTTATCATATATAAATACATACATATGATATATATATGCGTAACTTGAGCACGAATTAACTCTTATAAAAAATTTTCCGAGCAAAACAATTTTTCGAATGTTTTACTTTGAGCTTATGAAAAAAGTTTACATTTCTCTTTTCAAAAACTCCTGCTGAACAGTTCTCCTATCTCTCTGACTTCGAAAAATCCCTAAAACGGCAAGGCAAAACATAGCAACTACTCTCTTATCACTAAAATAGTTTTTCTCTTACAACTCTCTCTCTCTCTATCTCTCTTCGTAACAAATCGGTATATACCCAAGTCGTCCACAATTAAAAACCAACACAAAAGCTATTGACCTAAGCAACGAATCACACGAACGGCTTCGTCCAATTGGTAAGCGAGCATCAGCTCATATCATACCGGCATTCGTCATTTCGTTTTTCGACAATTTTCATTTGTCGTTTTGTTTTGACAAAGGCTTTCGAAGTTAATGTCATAAAAGCTTTCATAATAATTTGGAAAAGAGCATTTAACCTTTTGCTCGCATCCTTCGTTCGTGTGACTTGTTCGTTTTTACGTAAGGATTTCTTCGCCGGGACACGCTTGATAATCAGCTCGTTTGGTTAACAAATTAGTTTAGTTTGGTTTTAGCGTTCATCGTTGACGGTTTTGCGGCGGTGTTCAAATAACGGTGCAAGCGCTTGATGTGGAATTTGTGAATAAATTGGTGCTGTCGCAAGTAAGCCGGCCAAAATGACGCTGCTTGATGTGGAGAGTAAAAGAATAGTTGTTCTTGCCTTTTAAAGTAGAGATTTATATAAATATACGATTTCTCTTGGTGGGCCGCAAATACAATCGGATCGGACTATATTGTTGTGTAGTGTAAATTGAAAATGTTCAACAGAATTTTGTTGCACAAGCTTATTATGGCAGTGTAGTGGTTGTAAACAAAGTGAAAGCTTTCTGCAGAAATGTAAAGATATTTTGAAAGGTAAACATTGGCTAAGTACAATTTAACGATAAAAATTAAGGAAATAAAATAAATAAATTCAAACCAATAAATTTAAATTCATACAAAACATATTAAGCAAAATTAAAAAAATAAACAACTAATGAAAATAAAATAAAAAGTTTTGAATCAAATAAGAAAAATAAAATAAAATGAAGACATATTGAAAAAACAAAAACAATAATAAAATAAAATGAAATAAAATATTTAACCTTTTGTACGCTACAAAAAAAAAAAAAACAAAATAAAATAAACTTAAATAAAATAGAATAAAAAAATATCCTAACATAAAATAAAGTAAAATAAAATAAAATAAAATAAGTTAAATAAAAAAATTAAATTGTGTTAAATAAATTGAAATATGTAAAACTAAAAAATTAATTTTTTATAAAATAAAAATCAATAAAACACAACAAATTATAATTTAATTAAAATAAATAAATGAATTGATTCAAAGGAAATAATATTAAATATAATAAAACAAATGCATATAACACAAATTAAATAAATTTAATTTAAATAAATAAAATAAAATAATTTAATATTACGCTAAATTAAACTAAATTAAATAAATTTAAATTAAATAAAACAAGATGAAATAAAATAAAACAAAATAAAATATTAAAATTCAAAAAAGTCAAAAAGAATTCAAATAAAATAAAACAAATTCAATTAAATGAAATTAAATTTAGTTCAATTAAATAAAACAAAATAAAATAAAATAACATAAAAATAAAAGAATATAACATAAATCAAAAAATTCAAGTAACTGAAATTAAATAATATAAAATTAATAAAGGTAACAAAGTTAAATAAAGGAGGGGAAAAAATGAAAAAGAAATAAAAAAATTAAAAATAGAAGAATATATCAATATTAAAAAATTTAAATTAAATTAAATGAAATGATATCAAATTGAATAAATAAATAGATCAAAAAAGTAAAATGAAACAGTTTAAAAATAAGTAAGTAAAACAAAGCAAAATAAAATATATTAAAACAAAATAATACAACCTTAAATAAAATAAATAAAGAAGTCATATAAATTTAAATTAAATAAGTTGAAATAAAACATAAAAAATAAAAAAGCTGAAATAGAATAAAAAAAATAAATAAAATGAAATAACATAAATTAAAATAAAATAAAATAAAATAAATTAAACTGAAAAATTAAATAAATTTATAGGAATACAATAATTACTATTTAAATAAAATAAAATGAATTTCATTGAAATAGAATAAAGTAAAATAACATATAATAATAATTATAATTTAAATAATTTTTTTTTAAATAAAATTGTTAAATAATGAAAACAAAATGAAATATATTATAATAAAACGAAAAAAAATTTAAATAAAATGAATCAACATAAAATTAAATGACGTTAAATAATTAACTTAAGGCGAAATCAAGTAAAAAGAAAGAAATAAATTTTTAAATTATTAATAATTGCTTTACATTACAGACTAACGTAAATTAAATAAAGATATGAAACCCCTGCTTATTTATGTGTACATGTTTGTGATTCAATTATTTATGGAAGTTTTGTTTTGTGCGAATAAACTAACAAACAATATACGAAGGAATGACGCAAGTTCCATTTTGAAATAAGACGCATCAAATTTAAATATTTTCTTGACAATATGTCTGTAGTAACTTTGTACTAATCCTTTTAATGAAGGATTGGTGTTCCGCATTAAATTAGCCATGAATTCTTCAATGAAATTTGTAAATATTAAAAAAAAATTTATTAAACCGACTTCAAAGTGAATTAAATATGCTACTCTAATCCTGCTGGGTGTTTGAATGCAAACCTGCGCTGAGTAGAGCAGTCTTCTTTGGTTTATTTTGTATTCATTAAAGCTAATTAATTTCATTACCGTTGGTGAATTTCTCTTTTTACAATTAAAATAACAATTTGCCGGATTGCGCAGTCCTATAAGAAACTGTAGTTATAGAAATGAGAGGAATTAAAATATATGTAAGCACAACAGCTATAACTGGCATAGACAAAACACCAACAAAAACAACAACAACGAGCACACTAAAGTGGAATTAGCTGAACTTGGTTTGGTTGCTAAAGTTCTTATTCGCCGCATTAGTCATTAGCTCTTCTCGCTCAATCACTAAATTCTCCCCCTTCGCTATGCGCGCGCAGCAACGCAACGGATGCAAGTCCAAAGTACCGAAGTTGAAGTTACTCGTTGCGTTGGGATTTGTTTATGCACATCCTGTGCGATTTCATTTCGCAATATTCTACACTGCGCTTGTTTTTGTTGGTTGCTACTATACTTTCTTATTCACTAACGTCGGAGTATTGCATTAAGCAGCGAAACGTCCATTGCATCCGGCAACGCTTTTACTCTGTACGTTAATATTAGCTCATTAAGCGCACTTCCGCAGCGAAAGGCCATAACAATGTATGTACAAGCCAAGTTTTATTGACTGTAAGCAGCCGTTGCTGTTTATGTTGTCGTTGTTATTGTAGTTGTTTGAAATTGTTTTCTAAGTCTCCTGTATTTGTTTCTTTCATTACATTTCACTCTTTAGCTGGCCGTTTGCGACGTTCACACGTAGCAGTTCTATCTAATGATTGTTAATGTCGTTGTTTTGTGGGTTTCTGTTGATATTATTCTTCCTGCATCCCTGGCAATCGTTTTAGATTTCAATTGTGTCTTCAGCCTGTAATAAAACGCTCAGAATTACTCGCGCAATGTACAAAATTCTAATGAGTGACCGGGTGATCGTAAAGTGATCGATTATTGATATGTCTTTAGTTTAAAAACTGCCAAGGTCGATTTTTTTACACTTCAATCTTTTGGCAATGTTTATGTAGACAACTGTACCAAAAATTACTCGTATTTTGTAATTAACTGAGATACCCAAGCCTTTGAGTGCACGGTTTGTAAGTCATGGCAAGTTTTATGTGTATAAAATGACATTGCCATAGTCCAACGAAGGAAGATCGTATTAATAATAAATAATAATTTTCTTTAATACGCTAGTTCTCAGAAGGAGTATTTACTCGTTAAGCGCTATTCGACTATAGAGACCGAACAATAACTTTTTTACCGATCCGGATTTATTCGAAATCTCTCGATCGCAATAAAAGTGATTCGTACTAATTTGGAATGGTTTCCGGCCAAGCAAAAGCAGTTCCTAAAAAAACTCCGGAAACCTATTCGAATATCATGAGCAGTACTTCACATTTCATCGATATATTTCAAAACAAGTTAATTATGGTTAATTCCAATTTTTTCTCCTGTGCTCAAAAGTTAAAGGTTCATCGCATAAACACGCTTATTTGGGTAGCCCCACAGTTATTGAATTGACATCGCCCAGACGAGCGATTGCGCGACCGGAAAATTAAATTAAAGTCATATTAGCTCTTGTTCTGTGGTATGTGATACCACCTTGTTGAGACCACTTTATTATCGCAGTCATGCTCGTCAATTGCAGGCCAAAAATTTAGGTTATCATAAGAATGTAATGCTCCAAGTTGACAGTGACAGTCTTGCCGTTGTCGTTTTCAAGAAAATATGATCCAATCACACCTCCAGACGAAAGAGCACACCAAGTTTGTTTGAGTGTAATGGCTTTCAATTATTTTAAGAATCTCGTAACCCAATATGCGACACCTTGACTTATCCACGTATCTCCGGAATAAGAAATGTGACTCGTCGCTGAAGAAAATTGTGTTCAAAAAATCGCCAACGCCTGCTTGTTGTTCAAGTACTCAAGAGATGCATGTACGTCATAGTGAATGATCAGATGGCTATTTTGTTCCTGAGAACGACAAGAAATAGACACCTTCGGGTCTTCGACTACACTTTCACTTACAGTAGGTCGATTTGAAGTAGAACAAATAAAGCGATGATGCAAAGGCCTCTACAATATCTGCAGCCAATCCAGTCTCGTAAAACTTTTTCAAAACTTTACCAATTGATTGATTAGTTGACCGATTATTACCACCGAAAGCACGAAACGTGGCCACGTTTGAATTACCATTTTTTTAGTATATTTTAACAAGTTTAATCAATTTCGCGTCTACTAAATGATCTCTTTTTCATAAATGCCTAGTTTTTTAAAATTTTAAGTAAAACATGACTGATTTGACAATAAAATTGGAATTTTGTTATAAGATTTTAGTGAGTAACTTATGTCAAAAGATAACCCTGTGCTTTTGAAGCCACGAAATTGATATCCCAATATAAATATTGTATCCAAGAGAGAGAAAAATAACTCTACATAGAAATGCTGAACCAATTTGAGTAAATATTTTTTAACTGTTCGATTTATTAAGTGAAGGTTTCACGAAAGGTATTTTACTGTAATTCGGAAAATTATTCATGGACTTATGTATACGTGAAAATCATATATATGATTTAGTTCACTGAAAATGTAATGGGCGCGTATTTTTTCGTTCACTTCGGCAGAAAATGGTCAGTGTACGTTGCCCAACTGTATTTTTTTTATATTTTTGCGCCGAAAAACGAGCTAACTAGCATTTTGTACTGTCATTCTGAAATGCAGGACTCGAATACTGCTTTGAAAATTATAAAAACCAAATTTTTCTCATTGCGACGCCTCTCGGCACAAAAGTATCAAGCCACACACACTCAACTGGAGGAGAGGGCTTTGGAAAAAACATTTTAAAGATTACTGATTTCGATGTCTTTAAAATAATTCGCATTAAAATAATGTTGGTGCTAATCGAAGGCATGGAATCGAGGTGAGGCGTGTTTCACTGAGTGACCTGGCTGAGAATAAATTACAAAAGGAAATAGTGAAATTTGTATTTGTGTTGCAGTCATTTACATCTAGATCCTTTTATGTGACTATGTCGAATCTTATTGGGATCAGTCACAAACTAAACATTAACTCTCTAATTTTTGGTTCTTGATGATAAGAGCTAAACTTAATGAATGACGTTGAGACATTTTTTCGCTTTTTTTTACAGACTAGAACTCAAGAGTATTTTCA